GTCCATAATAGGAAGAAGAAGGTCGTCTTGCTGTTCTCGAACTTCTCAGATGAGGTGGAAAGGAAAGTCAGAATCCTCTCCACTTATCTCGATGAAGGAGTCTCAGTTCAAGACGGACCTGATGAAGACCCTCTGTGGAGGACGTTTGAGATAACTGGTGAAGAGATAAAAGAAGCGAAAGAGAAAACTCTACTGATGGATGAAGTGAAGAGTACGGGCCTACTGGATACCGTCAACTTCGGAAACGATAAAGACTGCAGTAGTGTCGGCGTAGCTCAAAAAGAAGAAGGTGAAGAAGAGGACTACGATCTTGATGATGAAGTTGAAAATGAAGTAGAAGAAGAAGAAGATGAAGTGGTAGATGACACTGGTTATGAAGGGATAGAGCTGGAGAGCACTAATGAGCAAGAAGACTCAAAAGAAGAAGGAAAAAGTGACAAGAAGAAGAAGAAGAAGCCAAAGAAAAAGAGAAAAGCCAACGTGAGTAGTGACTCGGGCACTAAAAGGATACGGCCAGCGGTGAAGCGTCGAAAGTTGGACCCACCTGCGGCCTATCCTAAGCCGAAGATCAGCTACGAGTATATCTGCAACATAGGGGCTAGTTTAGTCTTTCCGACATTTCAGAAATTGTGGGAAGTCGTCAGGACAATCGATAACTCTCCACAAGCTAAAGCTTGGGTAGTTCACTTCTGTAGACATAACCTTAACAGGCTAAAAGCGCACGCGTTTCCGCGCCACAGGTCAGGAGGAATCGACGCAGCAAGTCTGCACGATTGGACCTCTTTTGCCACGTTCTTTCCCCTCGGTAAGGATTATGCTGTCTTGCACGGTATTAACTTGTTCAGTCGGGCTAGTGTAGCTAAGACCTTGTCTAGAAGTGGTGTCAAGGGAAAGGACACAGTAGAGTTCCTAGAGACGTGCAAAACTCGAGGATTCTTAGGACGTAACATTCTGTGCGACCAGGGTAAGGAGTTTGACAATCACGAGGTAAGGGAGTATTGTCAACTGAATAGTATTGGCCTATTCCTAATCCCTAAACCTAGTTGGGTTGACGGTATCTGTGAACGTCGACACAGATATTTCCGCGGAGTTTTGCACAAGCTCTACTACATATATGGACAGAAAGCCAGCATAATCCCGAGGCTAGTTGAACAAACGGCAAACGCGATTAACGCTACTCCTACTAAGTCACTTCAAGGGTTATGTCCCTATATGGTTCAGTGGGCTATAAACCCATGGAAGATGGAGTTAGACTGTCCTGAAGATATGACGACCCAGCAACTGGTCCTGTTAGATAAACTAGACCCCGAAGCAGATCAGATTATAAGGATGAAGGCAAGGCAAGAAGTTGAAGCCTGGAAATACGACAAGAAGACCATCGAAGAGATGAAGAAGTTGGCTGAGAGGCAGCGTAATGCCTATCCCGAGTCGGCTTGTCTGGAAGTTGGACATCTGGTAGACATTTACGACAAGGACAAGCAAGCACGGATGGGACCTGCAAAGTTGATCTTCAGACAAGTGAACAAGGATAGTCTGACATTTATAGTCGACTACGATGGATGCTTCAAGCGAGTGCATGAATCTCATGTGAGACAGCGCCTAGCGCTTGATGAGGTGAGCCTTCTTCCGCAACTTCTCCGCGTACTGTACAAAACTCACAATGTTCCACCAAGCGAGCAGAAGGAAACCAGAAATGGCGAGTTTGTTGAACAAGCCATCCAAATGAAGATTGGAAAAGACGGGCCACATTCACCTGTGTGCCCTGATGAAGAAAAAGGCTTAGAGTTTTTTGAAGAAGCAGATCATGTCGAACGGGTGCCGGGTGAGAACCCGAATCCTACTCCACATGATGGGTCGGCAGACGATGTCGATTCTGGCGGGGATAGGGGCGCTATTCCTTCGCAACGCGAGCAAGATGAAGTCTTGCCATCAAAAAGGTTCAGGCTGACGAAAAGCTACACAGACAAAGTCTTTGAGGACTTGAAAGCCAAAGAAGCTAAAAAGCTAAGAGAAGTGCGGGAGAAGGAGGAAGTGCCATCAGGAGTAAGAGGCGCTTGGAAGAAGAAGAAAGAAGCGCGAGAGAGTGCTCTTGAGCAAATCCGGAATATCATCATGGCGCAGCCAGAGTATTCGGATCTCAAGAAGCAACAACTCGAAGAAGTAGCTTCGAGTGTGTATGAAAAAGTGAAGAACAGTGACGACTTGAAGAAGACAATCCACAACGAGCTTGGACTGCTTGCAGTCGTTGCCCCGCTCGTTTGTGATGATTGGGAGCCAGGTGAGAAAGTATTCAAAGCTGTGGCTATCCCAGACCATGAGTCCGGCTTTGACACTTCTACACCAGAATGGCAAGAAGCTATTATGAAAGAGCTGAAAGCACACTCCCATGTGTTTGGAAGAGCAACAAACGAAGATCTGAGAAACTGGAAGAAAACAGGAAGCAGAAACGTCCCTTGTAAGATGCTACTAAGTGTGAAGAGATGTGGCAGGAAAAAAGCACGGATCGTGTGTCTTGGTTTCTTGGACAAAATGTCCGGCAACGAAGATGAGTATGCCTCTGTGCCTGATCTAGCGATCTTGCGCATGCTCGTTGCTATGAAGTGCCAAAGTCCATCGATTTTCGTCTTTCTTTCCGATGCCACAAGTGCACTTCTCCAAGCTCCATATCCCGTGCCAGTTGTCATCGAACTAGACCACAGGTTAGAAGAACTCCTTGGATACAAGTTAGGAAAAGTCAAGTATGCTATGAACGGGTTGAGATTGTCTTCTAAAGCCTGGGAAACGCATCGAGATAAAACTCTCGCGCAGTTTGGCTGGAAACAAAACCCACTAGAAAGCACGCTTTGGACTAAGCGAGGAGTTTTACTGTGTGTCTTTGTGGATAACTTCTATTTCTTTGGAAAGAAGGAAGAAGGCATGATCGTACATAATGAGATGCAGTCCGCACTTAAGCTTCAACCAGAGCCAGTGCGGGAGACTGCTACTCATAGGATCTTTGACATTCTCGGAATAGAGTTGCATGAGTGCAAGCGAAGTGGTAACGTAACACTATCCCAAGACGCCTACGTAAGCAAACTACTTGAGCGCTTTGGCGGGGATAGTGGAAAGAAGGTGAGCACACCAATGGAAAGCGCTCTAAGTATTGGCTTACCTGAAGTGCCTAGCCTGTTGAAGGCTAAGCAGGAACTTACGGGAAGTTTGCAATACTTGTGTCTAACAAGATTAGACATCGTAGTGCCATTGAAGATGTGCGCGAAAGTGAAAGCAACTGAGGAAAGCTTAGCAAGCTTGAAAAGGATCATCAGATACTTGCGAACTCGAAGAGCTTTGATGTATAAAAACCGTTCACATGAGTTCAAAGGAAAGCTCATCCTTACAGCTTGGTCAGACAGCGACTGGGCATCCTTTGGTGATAGACGCTCAATTTCAGGCATAGTGATCAATCTCAACGGGAATCCTATAGCCTGGAAAAGCGCTAGTCAGCATAGTGTTGCTAGTAGTGTCAGCGAAGCTGAGCTGTATGGGATGTCAGAAGCCGCGAAGATGGCTATAAGGTTTCACTACGTCTTGACAAGTTTGAGATCATTCTGGATTCAATTCTTTGACGATTCATCTATAGTGCTACCCGTTGAGTTAGGATGTGATAACTCTGGATCGATCAAATATTCAGAGAACAAAACCGGAGCTGCTAGTCGATTGAAACATATCGACATCAGGGATGCTATGATTAGGGACTTCTGTACTAGAAGACTCATAAAACCAATTTGGCACAGTACCAAATTGAATAAGTCAAACGGACTCACTAAAGTAACTACTGACGCAGATTTCTTTGATTTCTTGAGGCTAAACCAAGTGATTGAGATTTTAGTTTCTCTACTAGTGTTCCCTATCTTTCAAGCATTAGGACAAAGCTGAAGGTTTTAAGTAACAGGAAACTACAGCAACATTTTCCAAAAATAAAAACCTCGCCACCTCTCCCACAACAGAGCAAAAGGAGTAGCCCTCTATTTGCAGAAACAAGGAGCACGGGGAGGCTGTTGCGAATAAATGGATCCATGAAACGAATCAAGACCGTCAGGGTGGCAGGTCAAGAATGTGACGATGTTCAAGAATCTGGCGCTGTTCAAGAATCTAGTGGTGAAGAGTGTAGTGATGAAGATGAAGGTTAAAGTTGTAAATGTGCTCCATGTTTCTGGTCGCGAATGTAATCAAGACAGCAACAAGCTACAACATGAACCAAAACCAAACACCAACCGCATAATCATTGATAGGCCTAGAGTCAACACACATGCAATTTGTGTCTTTCCTTTCATATGAATACCGTGCAGCAATATAATCAATACCTCCATACCGCTGCCAATTCCGCTACTATTGTTCAACCGAAAAACCAAAAGAAAAATATCCATCTTCATCGGTTGCCTCGTGCTGTTTTGCTCTTCTCATGATCTCTGTTTTCACAATACTATTCAGAATAGTTAATTTCCTCATTTTGATGCAATTCAATTCCATCTGTTTATTCTGAAGGAATAACAATTGTGAATAATTGTTTGGAGCTCTAAAAGAAGTGAATGATTATTCTGAAGGGAAGAGGTGTTTGATTGTTTCGAGCTCTAAAAGATAGGGCAGGTGAATAAAGATTATTCTGAAGGGATGAGCAAATGCATAGTAACTAATAGTATCAAGTATTCTGAGCTCTAAAACGTGGCGGAGAGTTTTGGACCTTTTGGGTCGCACGTACTTCTGATCACTCCAGAGGGGCAGATTATTGTTAAACGTCCGGCACGCATTCTAGCCCTAGATGGGCCGTCGCGCTCACGTGGAAGAAAGTTTCTTAAGGCTTGTCAAGACTCGTTTACTTCATCATTAATTTCTTATGGCAATGAATGTCACAAATGATCCATATTAAAGGGCGCTTATTATACAGTTTATCTTGCGAAATAAAGTTTTTGCCCATAATATAATGCAACTTTCCTCTTTTTTTTACCCATCATGATACAATATTGTGCCAGAACTGCAACAGGTTTTTTGCTTGTTTCTCTCATGGAGTATCCTAGGGTAGTGCGCCCATCATCCATAAAATATAATACTTCGTGTGGTTCCTACTTTTTTACCCTATAATGGTCAACAGTCTTCTAAGACTCTGGTGGATGTCTGTGGAACGATACTAGATAAGGCACTCAGCCGACTCAATGACGGGCACGGGAAATGCCTGTGCATGTTGGTTGCATCACTAGAACACCTCCACAACCTGCACAGCGAAGGTTAAGGCATCTTCTGAAGCTTACCTTACTACCCCAATCCATCTTCTGAAGTATGACGACTTCAATGAGAATGAGGCATTCTTGACTTCAATGAGAAAAGTGCATTGCGCTCGCTGAAGCATCCTGTTGCTGAAGCATCCTGTTCGTTGCTGAAGCATCCTGTTCGTTGGCAGCGAACAGGATGCTTCTCAAGATGGTGGATTCGGATGAGCTCTAAGAAGAAGAGAACCGCTCCGAACTTCGACGGATTCTGGCACAGATCAGACGCGAAGTTCTACCCTTTGCAGAGAAGGTTGTACTTCGAAAACTCGTGTACGTGTCTCATGAAGAATCTGAAGCCGCCCATGGGCGTGAAGTTGCAAAAGATGGAGAAACAAAAAGCATCAAGGAAGAATTAGGGCTTACAGCAATTCATCTGCAGAAGCATCTTCGGCCCCCTTTGTAAGGTGAAGTCCTTTTGTAAGAGGAAACCACGCACAGGATGCTTTTCAAGATGAATGTTTAAGTCAGTATCTGGGACAACAAGGAAAACTCTCTATACCCTATAGTTTAAGTAAGGTCATCTAAAATAAGGAGAAGAAAACATAAACGAGGAAAAACTACAACGCGGACGCCTGTTGAAGATGATGGCAATGTTTTTGGCGACATCACTTACGGGAGAAATGCCTGCTTCACAGGCGCGCGAGTTAGCCAGTCTTGTAGTTGAATTCGTCTCGAACACTGCAGACGCGGAGGGAACAGCACTGCGAGAGGCCGCTCTTCGATGTAAAGGCCTGATACGTGGGGTCGATCGTGGTGTGTGTAATATGTCGAAACCTACACTCGTTCGTGGTCACGTGTTCTATGGTCTCTGTCGGCATGGACATCATTCCTTCCTTCACTCTACGAATTCCGCGAGCACGCTCAGCTGCCCATATGAAGTCAGTCTACTGGAGTACCT